GTATGGAGGGGGTGTCTAGGGGGTCAGGGGTGGGGCTCAGGTTTAGGGTTTTTGTGATTTTGAGTGAGCGGTTGCGGCTGGCAGGGGACGGCGGTCGAGCGGCCGCCGCCGCGGGTCTCGCGTGCTTTTGCTCGTGGTGGCAGCGAAACCAACGGAAACAACTGCCCGAGGCGTTTCTTGCGCATGGGCGGCGTGTCAGCGGTGCACCCACCAGGCAGACCATCCAATTGCAGACCACCGCGCGGCTGAAGGCCTGGGAGAACGTCAGGGACGTCTTGGCGACCGCGGACGCCTGCGGGGCGAGTATACAAGGGTGCCGCGACGCGGGTGCGGGGACAAGGTGAGGGGGATGGGGGGATGGGCGGTGGAAACCGCGCCGCCGCTGCCGCCTGCTGCATGCCTTCACAGCAGGCTCTGCAACCGCCCGCGCTCGGCAATGCTGCATCCACATGGTGGGTTTCTCCGAATATTGGTCCCAGTGCGGGGCCTGCACTCGAACAAGCCCAGGTCAGGGGCACCACCCGCAATCTATGCCGCTCTCCCTTCCAACTACAGACAGCGGAGGCGGTCAGGACTGAAAATACGCCCCTTGTCGCCCAGCCCCAACTGCCCGGCCCTGCGGCTGCCCGGGGCACTCACAATGGGGCCGGCGGATGAAGCCGGGGTCATCAGCCCGGTGGCCGCCACAATCCACACCAGCAGCGCCGCGCCGAGCATGTTACCCGTGAAAGACAGCGCCCAGTTGCTCGCCACCTGCTGGAGCGTCGCCTTGCGCTGCGCGGTGGTTGGGGGAGGGGGGTTGCCGGCAGGGGTGCGGGGCGTTGAGGCATACATGCTGATGAGGTGTGCTACAGTGTTACAGATTCTGGGGGTTGATTGCCAGCCTGAAGGGCCGGCTATGCTTTGAAAAGCAGCAGCCATGTCTGTAACCACTATTCCGATATATGATTCAAGGTGCACAAGATGCAGCTGCGATTTAGCGTCGACCCCTGCAGTCACGAACACACACATACACACACACACACACACACACACACTCATCGCCGTGCTCGCTCGCCTGCCCGCACACACATTAACTCGTATACACACTCAACACACGCAAACACGCACTCACTCGTCACGCAGCCATGACAACCCACTCCCATTCGCCTCGTACACACCCACGCGATCAACTCCGCGCAACGCACCTCGATGGCGGCCGCTGTCATGAGCGCCACGTTGCCCGTGAAGAGCTCTGCGCCGCACACCATCACGAGGATCAGCCCAACAGGCAGCCCGAACGACCCCACCACCATCTTCTGTAGGCCGGGGTTCGAGGCCGCCAGGCCTGCGCGCGGGGCGGAGGGGAGGTGTCGGCGGCGCTGCTGAGCGGGAAACTCGCGAAGCGCTTGCTTGGGCGGCGTGTCGGGGGCGGCCGGAGGCTGACAAGGTCGGGCTGACGAATCAAAAAGTGCTTCGGGGGACATGGCAACTGCTCCTGGGGCTGCAACGACACGGTTTGTTCGCAGGGCTCGACTGCGAAAACCGCGTGCAAGGACTGCGTCCGCGCCACCCACCAGGGCAGTTGCCGCCCACGGTCAGCAGCAGCAGGCCGCCGAGGCCGATGTATATCCCAGCCAGGACGCCTGATGATGTCATGGTGAGTCAAGGGGGGCGGCGGAGATGGACTGGGCTCGGCTGTACCGCCGCCACGGCGCACAGGGAGCGCTGCTGATACCATACGGGTCTGAGCGGTGCACGTTGCAAGCAACTCACCCCCCCCCCAAAAAAAAACACACACATATACACACACGATTTTGCCCAGCAGCCCCGCCCCCTGGCGCCCATCTGGGTCAGCATATGCAGAGTGACCCCGCTACAACATGACTGAAGTTTGTGTGTATGTGTGCACGTGTGTGTATGCATGTGTGTATGTGTGTGTATGTGTGTGTGTTGGGGGAGGGAGGGTGTGCTTGGGAGATGGTGGAAGGCTCACCCATGAACAGCACCTTCTGCCATGGCATGGTGGTTCTGGCCGCCCCCAGTCCCACAACGGTCTCATACCTGTGGCGGGGCGAAGCGGCGGCGTATGTGCGTGCGCGTATGTGTGCGGGTGGGGCGGGCACGTGAGGCAGGTTGGGCTGGGTCGAGCTGAACGGCCTGTGGCTTGTATAAAGCAGCCGAGGAGCTGCGTGCTCGGCTTTGAGGCTCGGATGTGTGCACAACACGACACGGCGCAGCACGGACACACCAGGCAATCGGCCGGCGCAGCACATGCAAAGTCGCGGGGGTTGCGGATGACAATCACACTCACGCCTTCGCAGGGGGCACGATGTCGCGGAACGCCTCTGGAGATATGACAGGCGCCGGCGCCGGCGCCGGAGCCGGCGGCGGGATCACGATTTTCGGGACGCCGTTGGTGGCCACGCCGTTGGCGGCCGCAACAGCCTCGGACACCTCGGCGATGCGCACGGACACCCGGCGGCGCGCGGCGGGGGCGGGCTGGCGAGCGGCGGCGCCGCACAGCCCTAGAGGGCGGCAGGGTGTGAGCGAGTCCGTTATTCGGCATCGGGGCGGCGGCGTTGCCGGCGCGCACGGCACTGCGGCAGCGGGCATGTGGGCTCCCCCCAGCCAGCTGCACAGCACGGCGTGGTCGCGTCTTGATTATGTTGCGGCTGCTCACCGGCAATACGCCTGGGCTGAGCAAGAGGGGTAGGACTCGCACGCATGACTTGCATGGCTTTCACTCGCGAACTGGCTTGATTCCGAGCGAGCAGGTGGCGGGTGTCAGGTGATGGACCACAACAGGCTGAAAGAAACGAAGTATTGATAGCTGCAGTTACGACATTCCAATTGCTTGCATTTTCTCAACACAAGGCGCAGTGGCATGGACTCTCACGAGGGGCACATGCCAAGGGCCACGGGGCGGGGCTGCAGTCAACCAGGATGCCCCGCGCGCTTCAATTGCAACGATTTGAAATTTTCATGGTGCTTTCAGTCGCAGGCACAGACGCTGTGGGGGTGGCCTTCTCCCATGCCCCCAACCTGGTGCCATGCATGCCCCCTGCATGCCAGGTCTCGCACTCACTCAGCTGCAAACGCATGCGCATCAGTCCTCTCCAACTCTGGCATCCTGCTCAATCAACTACTCTCAGCCCAAAGCAGGTGCATCAGCTTCCCGCGCCGCCCACCCCTGCGCCCACGCCCCCTCTGGCCCCTGCGCCGACACCCCCTCTGGCCCCGGCGCCCCCTCCGCCCCTGTCGCCGCGCTTCCCCGCGCCCCGGACCAGCGCCTGCAGGCGGGCCGCGCTCCCAAAGTACGTCGCCTCCCCCCACTCCGGCCGCGAAAGGCAAAGCGCGCCCCCTAACCCCCACGCGCCGCCGCCCCTCCCCGCTGTCCCCGCCGAGCCCTCGAGCGCCGCGGGAGCGGCGGCCGCCTCGCCGCCTGCGGTGACGTCACCGGGCGGCTTCGGGAGCATGACTAACTTCCACACGAGGCTGTAGCGCGGCCGCCCCGCGCCGGCCGACGGGGCTGACAGCCTGCGGCAGGCGGCGGCAGATGGGATGAACTCGGATCAGGGATTGCTGCAAAGCCCAGCGGTCACCCGCGTTCGATGCGGGTGCATGAGATCCAACAGATTGTGCACGTGACTTGAGGGCTCAATGTGCAAGTGACTTGAGAGGGGCGAAGCATGAGGCATGCCCCGCACAAGAACGCGGGCAAGGCTCTGCCCGTGAACCGAAGCGGCATCAGTGGACGGCCCTGGGCGGCGCTCGGGCTGCCGCCCCATTGTTGTGCAGGCGGCCGCCGCTTGCCGTGTGCTCGGCCCTGCGCCAAGAAGACTGACACATATGTAATCATTGTGATCATTATACACCACACATATACACGCAATGATATGAAGATCACCAGATACTAATGGTCTCCTCGGCAGGGGTGACCCCTGGGGCGCCCGCACACGTGCGATTAAGGGCCCCCCGCGACCCGCGAATGCGACGCACGCGCTCAATACATCACACTCGAGCAGCGAGCGCGGCGTCGCACAGCGAGCGCAGCGTCGCAGCTGCGTGCAAGACGACGGGCAATCCCACATCGGGTGCGTGTGCCTGTCGGCCCTCCCATCGCGGCGCCGCCCCCATCCCGCACATTTCGCCCCCCCACCCCAGGCGAGGCCCAGCCGTCCGATTCAAGCAGGCCCAAGCTCAAAAGCAACCCCCAAAACCGCCCCAACCACTCAGACCCCAGATCACACACTCCCTCCAAGAGCACCAGATCTCCAGATCGCCGGCCCCCACCTGTGCACCGCGTCCTGGTGCATCAGCACCGCGCGGCCCGGCTTGGGCCGGATGAGCAGCCCGCAGTCGGTGGCCGCATCCAGCACGAGCGTCTCTGCATCGTGGTCCTTCGGCCATGAGTCATCCAGGTACACCAGCAGCGACACAAACACCGGCCGCCCCGGCTCCCGGTTGAAGTAGCTGCGGGAGAGATCGGTGTTTGACATTTTAAACCTCGTTTTTGGAGGGAAGGAACGTGGGGGTCAGCATGCGAAGGCGTGGATTCCAAGAGACCCCTGGAGAGGCACAGCTGATGGCTGGTTGGTGTTGCCAGGCGGCGTGCCAACGCCACTCCAGGGGCGATATCGGCCCCCTCCGAGAAGCAAACCGTCTCCGACGCTGTGAGCATCGCAGCCTCAGCCCCGCGGTTCACCCCCAAAACTCAGGCGGTACCCCCCCCCTATCCGCCCACCGGCCGACCCTATCCACCCAGGGCGAGTCTGGGAAAGTGCAGGGATCCGCATCCACGTGCCAGCTGAACGCGTCGCCCGCCACCGCGGCGTTCGCCACCCACTGCGCGCAGTCCACCGCCGGCGGCGCCGCCTCTGCCCCCGCCTCCTCTCCCCCAGCCGGCTCGCCCCCGCCGCCCTCCCCTTC